GGTGCTGGGCCAGCCTCAATGAGGCCTTTGTTGGGGAAAGCAGGCGGGGGAGGCTCCAGCCCAGGTTTTTCCATGTTCCTCCTGCTCGAGTTAATTAAAGTGGAAACACAAGCCGAGGGTGCTGACTGCAGCTGGGGCAGAGGCCAGCGGAGGGGACAGCCCCCTCATGCTGGAGGGACGCAGCCCCGGGGTGCAGGCAGAGGGGAGCTGGCTGGGCAGAGCTGCGAGAGGCAGCTCCAGCCCCGAGGGAGTGCTCAGCCCTGGGCAGGACGAGCAGCGACAGCTCCACCACAGCCTGGGGTCCTGCAGAGCTCAGCTGCTGCACAGCCTGGGCGCCTCCGAGCTGGGACCCCTGCCCAGCCCACGTTCAGAGGCCAAGGAAACTGGAGCTGCCCCACCAGCAGAGCTGCCAGAGCTGCCTCAGCCCCTTGGCCAGTGGCCACCATCCATCAATCCCCTCGGCTTTCGTAACATTTTCATTGCATCACAGGCGGCCCCAAGGCTTGGCTGGAGCTGCTCCATAATCCCCCCACATTTAATACATGCTCAGGGACAGGCTCGGCCCAGAGGAGAACCTGAGCCTGCTGCAGCAGCATGAATGGGACCTTTCATAGGGAAGGAGGAAAACAGCACCCGAACCCCTGCAGGGCCACACCAGCTTCCCTGCCCAGTGCCACGGCCACCACCACCCCTCTGGCCCTCTGCTACCCACTGGAGGTGTCCAGAGGCTTCACTGCACCCCACAAACCTGCAAGGGCATGAGGCAGCTGGCACAGGCTGTGAAATGGGGAGTCATGAGTGGCCTGGGCTGTCCCAGCTCAGCCAGAGTGGACCCCAGCTGGAGCAGCTGTGCCAGCACAGCCCTCACTGTGCTGTGCCCAGTTCCAGCACAAGGCCACCTCTCCCAGAGCGCCTGGAATAAGGTCTGGGGGAGGCAAGGCTGTCCCCCAGGCTGTGCCAGGGCTGCTGGGCTCGCTTGGCATCGTTCCTTCCACATGACCCAAGTGGCAGCAGCTCCCAGCCCTGTGCTGATACTCTCCCCGTTGAGTGTGGGCACCAGAGCCCATCCTGGGCTGGGGGAGCACCAGCAGGGGCAGGGCAGGCAGGGCTGCCAGCACAGACATGGCACACAGCACGGGCACACCGTGTCCTCTCCTTACAGCACCCACACGGGGCGGAGGAGGACGCTGGGGGTGGTGGCATGGGGACCACGAGGAGCTGGGTGGCAATGGTGGCAATGGTCCAGCCCCTCCTGTGAGCCAGGAGCTGGCTGCTGAGGAGCCCAGCACAGCCAGCAGCAGGAGCTGAGGCCAGTGGCAGGAGAAGGGAGGGTGGGGATGGCTGCTGTCCCTGCAGCAGGAGGCTGTCCCCAGCCTGGCAGTGCTCAGTGCTCTCTGCAGCACTCACAGGGCTCCCCCATCCCTGCCTCTGCACTGGCACTCAGAGCAATGGTGGGGCACAGAGCCAGCGCTCAGCACTGTCCCTCCAGCCATGTCCACAGCCACAGGGGCTCCCAAGCCCCCCCAGAGGAGCCAGCTCTCTGTCAGCACCGGGTGCCAGCACTCACTGCCCTCCCCGTGGGTCTGCCCTGCCAAGCAGGAGCTGCTGTGTGCTCACAGCCATGTGAGCACACACACACCCACACAAGGTGCCCTGCAGCCCCAGGGCTGCTGGCTGAGGTTACCTGGGTGCCAGACCCAGGGGAGGCTCTGCAGTGCCTGCTGCCCAGAACGCTCCTGCCCGCTCGGGGAACCCCAAGGGGTTCCACAGGAAAATCTCACAGTCAGGTATTTACAGCCAGACCCCACTCTGGGCCTCTGGTTTCCTCCCTGCTTCCTCCTTCCCCAGCACCCGCAGCACCTCGGACAGAAATAGTGCCAGGCTAAAGCTGGAAAGCACAAACAGTGGGGCTGTGGACAGACAGACGCTGCCTTCAGGACAGGGGACAGGGATGGGCAGGTCCCCTGAGGGTCTCAGGGAGACAGAAGACAGGCAAAACCAACCTCAGCTTCAGCAGGCTCTGAGGAGGGAAGGTCAGGGCAAGGACAGTAGGGAGAGCTGGGGTTTGGGACTGGGATCCATCACAGCAGCTGAACCAGGTTCTCTGGTGCAGAACAGGTCAGGCCTGAGGTTAAGTACTCATTTGGAATTGAAAGGCAATAGAAGGAGAACTGTGAAGTGCACAGGACAAAGCTATTTTTAAAATGGCAGAACCACAACCATTTTTATTTGTGGTTCCAAATCCCGTATTTGTGTCACAGTGTCCAATTCTTTGCATGATTGCTGAAAAAAAAAAAAACAACAAACTCCTAAATGTCTGTGTCTGTGCTCTCAGCCCCCTGTGGGACAAGGATTTGGGTACAAGAGACACTGGATAAAGAGCAGTCAGTGGAATGGAGCCAAGCCCTGGCTGGGGAGGGGACAGGGCAGGGGCAGGGCCCTGGCTCTGGCAGTGGCCCCCAGAGGGGTCAGGTGTCCCCAGCAACATGGGGGGCTCACAGGAGGGTCCCTGGCAGGGCACCCTCTCCACAACCACCCCCAGGGGACAAGTGAGTGCTTCTGCCACTCCTGCCTGGCTCTCAGGCCAGCACGTTCCTGCTGGGCTGGCACACGGGAGCATTTTGCTGCCCAGCTCCCTGTTCCTCTCCACCTGAGTGGTGCAGGCTCATCCCCTCCCAGCCCCTCCACGACACCAGCAGTGCCTGCAGGCAGGGAGGAGCAGGAACAAGCCCTGCTGCCAGCCCTGCAGGCCCCAGGGCAGGCAGAGGGGCACAGCTGTGACATGAGGCTGAGACCCACCGGGAGGGACACGAAGGCTGGGGACAGCTGACTCATCCAGGGAGGGAAGGTCCTGGGCTCGCCAAGGAGAGCCTGTTCCAGTCAGTGGTTGCCACCTGAAGGGACTCAAGAGAGCTCAGGGGCATTTGGATGGAGTTGTGGAGCTTTGTGAGGGCAGGAGAACTGAGCTGGCTCTGAACTGAGCTCTCAACAGCTGAAACAATTGTGCAACCCATGGGGATGGGGGGCAAATCTTCACCTCCCTCACCAAGAGGCCACAGGCAGCCCCTCTAGAAACCACCCACCAGTCTCTCAGGATCTCTTCTTGCTCTGCTGGGCTGCAGCCACCCCAAGGACCCAGCCCAGGCAGCTACCTGCAAGTGCACTGAGCTTTTGGGAACAAGACAACAAACTCGAAAGACACGTTTTTCTGTGTCAACAAGGACTTGGACCTTTCCCACCACAGCAGCCATCCCAGAGTCAGGAAACTGAGGGAGACTTTGGACTTCACCAAAAGGTGCTCCAAGGAGAAAAGGCAGCCCCACAGATCTCCATGGACAAGATCAGACCCATCAAAAGCACTCGAGGGGGCAAAGGCATTGTGGAGGCAACGCTATCACCACTGCTCTCAGCATCCTGCTGTCAGGCTGCAGGACACCAAGGAGATGGAGGAGTGTGGCAGCAGAGAGGAGCTGGGGATGCTCCTCAGAGAGCTGGAAGCACAGATCCAGCTGCTTCCTCCAGCACAGGGCCCCTGGCAGCACCACAGGAGCCACTCACAGGTGACCCTGTACACGACTCCAGCCAAGGTCAAGCAGGCAGAGAGCACCAAGGTCGTGTTGTACCCTGCTCCCAGCTGACAGCCAGCCCCAGCTCGCTGCAGGCACCTGCTCCAGGGCACACCAAAGGCTATGGGAGCAAACTTTGGGGGGCAGATCCAACACAAGCACAGGCAGGCACGCAGAGAGGGCACTGCTGCCCTCGCTGTGCTCCTGCAGGGAAAGCTGCGAGCTGCTGAGCATCAGAAACACAGTGGGATGCTCAGCCCCAGATCCACCTGTAAAGTGCCAGAGCAGGGGCTGGCATCGAGAACGTGGGCACCCTGGCATGCTCCACGGTGCAGGCAGCAGGAAAGCAAATGGAAAACAGCACGTGATGAGCAGGAGGGCCGGGAGCGGCGGCACTAAGCAGGACTCTGGGTCCGGGCCAGCGGACCCACGAGGCACCGAGGCACTGGCAGTGATGGGCACAGCGCAGGGCAGCGAGGGGAGCCCGCACCGCGCCCTGCCCCGCTGCTGTGGCACCACAGTGACGGCAGAAGCGGAGATTGAGGGAGCCCCGCGAGTCCCACACAACAGCCAGGCGGGTCAGGGCCGGGGAGAGCTGCACACAGCAGGGAAACTGCACGGCAGAGGGTCCCAGCGCCTGTCTGGAGCCCCTTGGCCGGGGCTGGGGTCTGCGGGCGCGGGCAGGGGCCGTACCTGCAGCTCGCACCACGCCACCTCCACGGTGGTCTCCGTGTCCAGCCCCTTGTAGACGGTCTTGAAGGAGCCGCGGCCGATCTCGATGTCGAACTTGAGGAAGCGGCCGTCGGGGGAGGTGGCGACCGCCCGCGTCTCGACCTCCTCGCTCTCCGTCTCCTCCGGTTCCCGGAGCCCCGCAGCGGCCGGCGGCGGCGGCGGCGATGCCCCGCGCTCTCCGTCCGGTGCCGGGTACCCCAGCAGCTCCAGCTCGGCCGAGCTCCGCCGGTTGAAGCGGGAGGAAGCCCGTCGGGAATCGCGCCCCGAGGGCCGCCGGCTGCGGTTACGGTGCGGGGCCCGTCCGGTGAGCCCCGGACCCGGCTCCGGCTCCGGCTGCGGCGCGGAGCCGCCGTCCGCCCGCTCCGCCTCGGGATGGGACATGGCTCCGGTAGCGGCGGGCTCGGCCGCCAGCATCGGCTCCAGCCCGGCGGGAGCGGCCGCTCCTGAGCTTCGCACCCGTGGCCTCCGCCAGCCCGCAACCGGGAGCGACCGCCGAGACCCGGTCCGGACACCGGCCCCGGCACCGGCACCGCCCCGCCCGGCCCGGCGGCACCGCCCCCGCCCCGCCCGGGTCCGCCCCCGAGCGACCGCCGCCCCCCGGCCGCGCTGCGCCACCGGGCAGGGGCACCGGGCAGGGGCACCGCACCGACACCGCACCGGGCACCGACACCGCACCGGGCAGGGGCACCGCACCGGGCAGAGGCACCGGGCTGCGAGCAGCGGGCGAGCGCCCCGGCACCGCTCCCGGTCACCCCGGTGTGCCGGGATGTCCCGTCCCAGCCGGGGGACACCGCCCGGCTCCCACCCGCGTCCCGGGGCTCCTCGCTGTCCCCTCCCCGCAGGACAGCCCCTTCCCTGCCGCCGCCCCCGTGGGGCTCCGGGGCTGCTGTGACGAACGCAGCCGGAGCAGGAACGTCCCTGCTTGAAACATTTCCTCGGAGTTTCTGCCTCTGGCCCCGCTGCCGGGACGCGAGTTCCCCCTCACGCTGCCCCAGAGAATCCCGCTCGGGGTCACTACGGTCCGAAATCCTGAAATTAGGGTCAGGCAAATAGGAAGAGTCGAAGGTGTGTGTCAGCCCCGCGGGAGCCAGCAGCCGGACAAGAGCGTGTTGTCTGTCCAGGCTGAAGGAGAAGGTTGTTCTGCCGGTGAGGCTGTTTACACAAAACACAAAGCAATTGAGGCCGCCGCTGATTTCTTTTCCCTGAGGTCAGATTGTTTCTACTCAACGATACCGGAAACATGAAGGAGTGGATCGACAAGGGAAGGCAGTCGTGGGCTCCTAAACGCCAGGCTGGCACCCGCAGGGTGACTGCAGCTGCTGACCTGCACCACATCCCGCACGGCTGCTCCCCACAAATCCCCGCTGGCAAGAGGGAGGGACAAGCATTTAATGAAATGTTCCTGGCCGATCTCTGCTCTGCTACCCCCACCCGAGCCACCTCCTCCTGCCCGAGGAGCCGGGTACCTCCTTCCCAGCCCGGAGTCTGAGCGATGCCTCCCTGCAAAGAGCTGCTCTGGTTGGTGAGCAGCAACCGCATCCCCACTCAGCCCTGCGCTCCTTGGAGCATGTGAGGGGCTTGGTCCCAGCTGAACAAGCAGCACTGGCTGAACACCATGTCCAGCACCTCTGCCAGGTGCCCCAGGCACAGTGCTTGCACTGGCCCTGCCATGGGTTTTGGGCTGTAGGATGCAACATGGTTTGATTCAGCCCTGTTAAACAACGCTCTTTGTTCAGGTGAGCCTTGCCCAGAACCTTCTCAGCATGGCCAGAAAGGGGGGCATGGTGCCTGAGCCCTCTGGGCTGACTCTGTGGCTGTCCCCACACAGGGGTCCCATGCACTGCCCAGGCCCAGGAACTCAGCCCGGGCTGGCAGGGAGCCCCAGCTCTCCAACAGGAGACACAGAGCCAGGCAGGGATCTCAGCTTGGTCCCTGGCAGGCTCCTGTCTCCTTATCAAGGGTTTCCATCGTGAAACAAGATGCCTTGGAAGATCCCAGAGGAGCAGGGGAGCATTCCAGTCCAATGAGGCCCCTGCAGACAGGAGAGGAAATTAGGGGTGAAGTTTGCTCCAAGTGCTGCCCTCCCACACCTCTCTTTGTGAGTGATCTGAGAAATTCCCTAAATGATCCCTCCAAATGCCACTCCACAGCAGAACTTTTTAGGGAGGTGGCAGCTCGGGCAGGGGAACAGGTCCTCTCCTGACCTGGCCAGGAACACCAATCTGCAGCCAGCTTGGCCTGAAAGCAGTAGGCTCATGTTCCACAATCAGGAGCCCACTGCAGCTCCTCAGCCTTATCAGGGTGACATTTCTGGGCTGCAGGTGCCAGTGCCAGGCTTCACTTTGAGGAACCGCCACAATCAGGGAACATAACCCATTTCTCGCCTGCATTTGGCTGCCAGAAAGAGTACAGGGGCCTGTGTAATCACTCTGCTCAGAATTAGATCATGAATCAAAGCCCTGCTCAGCTCCAGGCTCCACCAAGCCCTGCCAGGAATTGTCTGTGTGATCCCAGAGCTTGGGGCAGGAGCACAGAGGGGCCAGGATGGGTCTGGGTGAAGGGGATGCACAGCACAGGGTGCCTGTCCCAGGAGGGCTCCAGGGACACCCAGGGCTTGTTTCACTGCTGGCTTCACCACCCCACACCCATGGGAGCTTCTATGTCTCTCATGTGAGTTCAGGGAGCAGGAGAGGCACCCAAACCTCAGCTGTGGCTGGAACCCTGGGCAGATCACTGCAGAGGATTTCCTCAGCCCAGAGGCACAGATGGGACCCACCTGCACGTTTATCCCGACATATAAAGTTATCAAACTCAAACAGCTCTCGCTCCTAAGCAGCCGCATTAAGAAAAATCTTTCTCAGAATCTTTCCTCCTTCACCAGCAGGATCCAAGTGTGCCCAGCCTGATAGAGCCTTATCTTGGCACCAGCCCCTCTGAGCTCTGCCTCACCCTGCCCAGAGAGCCCTAATCACCACAGCCAGACGTGGCAAAGGCCTCTGAGGGGCCACAGGCTGGAGGAAGGGGTTGTACCAGCCACCCCCCAGTCCCCCAAAACCACCCTGAGCCTCCTCCTGCAGCAGGGCTGTGTGGCTGGGCTGGGCAGCACCTCCACAGAGGGACATCTGCTCCCTCCAGGGTGGCAGCACCAGCTCTGCCACTCCCAGGACTCAGCCCATGGCCTCAGCAGGGACAACTCGGCCTCAGCAGGGACACCATGGACTCAGCAGTGGCACCATGGACTCAGCAGGGACATCTCAGCCTCAGCAGGGACATCTCAGCCTCAGCAGGGACATCCCAGCCCAGGGAAGTTGGTCCCAAAGGCTCCTCACAGGCACTGCTGGTAACCAGCCCAGAGGGTGTGGAAAAGGAATTTTACACAATGTCCACACTGCAGAGGGGACGTACTCTTCCTCCTCCTCCTCCTCCTCCTCTTCCCCCCACCCTCACTGAGTAACTAAATAGGAAGCTGAAAAAGAGAAGGGAATTGCTGCCAGGAGTGGCTTGGAATGAAAAGCTGGTTTTGGGCTTATCTAATGTCACATCAGCCATTTCCTAAGAAGGGAGCAAATTTAATTAAGAACACAGACTCCCTCAAGGACAGCCAGGTTACACAGAGCACTCCCAGCCTGGAACACAGTGCTGGGAGGTCGGGATTGTGCACACAGGCAGTGAGAACAGACACTCCAGCCTGGCTGCTGAAGGGATCAAACAGTTTGGGATCAAATGCAGACACCTGCAGGCACAGCACCCTGCTCTCTGCAGGGCCACCAGAGGGAAGGGGCAATGCCCACAGAGGGTGGCATGGGGAGGAAAGCAGAGGCAGATCTTGGACATGGAAACAAAGCCAGACTGGGAGCATAAAAATCCTACACAGGGACTTTGGTGGCTGCAGACACAGAGGGATGATCCCTGATCAAGCAGAGCCTGTGCCAGCTGTGGGGACATGGCACATGCCATGGCACAGCCTGTGCTGCTGGGTTTGCTCAGCACCATCAGTGCCAGGGCCATGACAGAGCTCCCAGGGGTGATGGTCCTCAGGAAGAACCCACACCAGCCCATTGTGGGCATTGCTGGTGCCTTTGCTCAGCTCACAAGTGCTGGCACTCAGGAATTCCTGCACTGCTGAGCCTGGCACAGAGAGGAAGCCTGGGCTCCAGAGCAAGGTGCCCACACCAGGGCAGCACATCCCACCAGGTCCAGCTCAACAGGCTCCTGCTACAGAGCAAATTTTCACATTTCACAGCCCCCAGAATCTCACCTCCACTGAGAATTCCTCAATGCTGACATCAGCTGTCAGGAGCAGGGGAGCCAGTGCCAGGCTGTCCCCAAGGGCAGGGAAGGACAGACAGGGGCAGCCTGTGGGGTGCAAGTGCCACCTGCTCTGCTGGACCCCCAGACTGACCTGAGGTCACTTCAGCACTGTCCCCAACCTCTGCCAGTGACATACAGACAATGATCAGGGAAAGGTGACCCTGCCCCAGCACAGCCATCCCCGGGGCTCACAGGGTCAGCAACTGCACCTGGCCATGGTTTCTGACAAGTTATCACAATTTCTGACTTTGTTATCACAATTTCTGACTTTGTTATCACCTAAAGCTGAGTCATCCCTCTCCCAGCCACAGTGGTACAGAGCTTACCCCATCAGCTCTGCACAAACCCAGGGGCTTCCAGCAGGCTGCACATGCAAATTTAAAGTAAATGTTGTCCTGAGAAAGGCAACAAGGGTCCCCTTCTCCTTTCTTCTTGTGCTGTTTCCCACCCTGGAAGCACTGGATTTCCCTGGGGCACACAGGAAATATGGCTGAAGGGCAAAAATCTGGTACAGTGCTCTGTTCTGTCTCTGATGGAAAAATAAAGATAGATGAAAACAGCCAGGCTGCTCTATAAATACATCTCATTTTAATCACCTGAAATGAGTTCCCTGGCTTCCCCCAGCCTGCTTGGCAGCAAGTGCATTTCCTTCTGCCACTGAGGGCTTCCACAGCCAGTGCCCTGCTCCTGCCTCATCCCCTGGCACTGCAGGACCCAGGCACGTGTGGCTGGCAGGGACACGGGGGGGGACCCTCTGAGGCCAAGCTTGACCCCAGCTGGGGCTGCTTGGAGGCCATCACAGGCACAGGGAGCAGCAGCAAGTCCAGTTCCACTTCTGGGTGGTCCCTCCCAGAACTGCCTAGAGCAGCTCCAGCCTCTGGAACACATCAACAGGGAGAACAGACAGACAGAGGATCTCAGGATATTCCTAAGTCTTTGGAAGGGTTCTCAGACTCATCTTGCCCCGAGAAATCCCGAGGTGCAGCTACTTGCAGTCACAGTTTGAGGCCAGGCCCAGAGAGGAAGGCTTGGCAAGGGAGAGCCCAGACTGCAGCAGGGAAGGGGAGGAGGCTGCAGTCAGAAGAATTTGACTCCTCGGCCATCATCCAGCGTGATAATCTCAGCCTTGTGCTCCTGCTGCAGGGCCTGCAGGGCACGGAGCAGCGTGGCCTCATCCAAGCCATGAAACTCTAGGGAAGGACAAAGATCCCCATCAACAGGAAGGAAAAATAACAATAATAACATAAACAAAAATAGAAAAGTAACAAAGATAACAACGGGAAGCAAACAGGTTTGTGAGGGGGCTGGGGGCAGCAATGCTGAGGGCTCTCAGAGCACCACAACTCGACAGCAAACCCAGAGGGATGGACACACTGACAGGTTCATCATCTCTGCTTGGGGAACAGAGCCTGGAGGTCAGCAGGGACGAGCCACAGCAGCCTGCAAGGCAGAGCTGGGGCTGGGCTTGAAAGCAAAACACCCCACACCACACCAGATAAAAAATGTTAAACAGTGAGGAAGGGAAAATGCAATTACAGAGGGGATGTCCCTGCAAAGTGATAAAAGCCTTTGGAGCAGCATGTGCCAATGGTGGGAAAGGGTGAGTTTGCACCTGAGATTTCAGAATATTTAATCTACAAAAGTGCAATCTGTCAATCAGCTGTTTACATGCTCCAATCCAGTGTGCTCTGAAAACCTGCTCCAGAACAGGAGCCCCAGCTTTACCTTCATTCTCTGTATCATCTCCACTGACCAGCTCATACAGCGTGAAGACAGAGTTGGTCAGGCCATTCTTGGACACCTGGAAACACAAGGGCAAAACAGCAAATTTCATCCACGTGGCTGAACGTCCTTGTCCAAACCTCTCACACCTCCTGGAGTGTGCAAAACTGAGTGTGCAAGCAGTGCTCTCTCCCAAGTGGCAGCCAGGACCCCCCATCCTCATGGACACAGCCTGGCCTGGGTGTGCTCTCACCCATTGATAGATGAGCTTTCCCCATTCTTCTGGTCTCTTCCACATGATCAGGAAGCTGGTTTTGTTCTTATCCAACCATTCCAGGTTCCCTAGAAGCAACAGGGAACAGGGATTGAGGCAGAGAAGTCAGAAGTAAGGATTGTGAAAAATGCGTATTTTATGATTGGCTTTTTGCAAATATTAAGATGAATATTGTATGTGTTGTGTTAGAAAGTGATGCTGTATTAATTCTCTTGAGTAGTGTGTTAAATATAGTTTTAGGTTATAAAAAAAAGTTAAAATACAAACTCTGCTATGTAGGATACTTTTTTGTAAAGAAAGGACTCGCACTGAGATAGCAGCCACAGGACACCTGAATCTTTCAGACAAAGAGAATTTATTGCTCCATTAGCAGAAGAAATGAACTTCTTCCTGCCTTGAAGGCACCGTTAGGATTCAGAGGAAGAAGTTGACACTGCCCAGACAGAATCCTGTGTTTGAATGGAATTTATGCATCATGTATGAGGTGTATGAATATGCAACAGGTTATTGTTTTTAAGGGTTAATCCTCTGTTAACGTGGGTCCTTTTTGGGGCTTATTTTACCCAGAAAAAGGTACCCGGACTGCCCATAACTCTTTGTTTCTATTGTCTCATATTGTCCTAATCCAAATTGCCCAAATTACTATTACTCTAATTGTATTACTATTTTTATAACCATTTTATCACTATTAAACGTTTAAAATCCTAAAAACAAGTGACTGGCGTTTTTTCACAGGATCAAACACGCAGATTTCGGGCCGTGTGCCAGACACTGCACCCGGAGGCAGCCTCACAGACCACCTCTGCCCTAGCACTGAATATTGTTGTGTTTATAGAGTAATAGAGCAATATAGAGCAATAGAGCAATATTGTTGTGTTTATAGAGCAATATTCAATGCGTGATTCCTCTGTCGAGCCCTCCCTTCCCTGCACAGCCCACACCCACGGGACGGAGCCGCCCGGTGGCTGCGCGGGCCGGGCACAGGGGACGGACGGACGGACGGACGGACGGGGCACGCACCATTCTTGCGCAGCTCCTCCAGCACCACCTGGATGGATTCCAGCGGCAGCTTCCCTGGTTGCGGGTTAAGGAGGCGTTGGCGGAGGCGGGGGGCAGGGGCTGGGGGAGGCACCGGGAGCACCGGGAGCACCGGGAGCACAAAGGATACGCTGGAGCCGGTGGTTGGCGAAGAGCGGGATGTCCTGGGCCTCCCGCACCGTCATGGCGGGCAGCCGGTGCTCCTGGCTGTAGGCCAGCGCCAGCGCGCACCACGCCGACAGCTGCTTCTGCCGCGTCTCGCCGTTCGGCTGCAGCCTGCGGGGCCCGGTCAGCACGGATGGGCACCGGCACCACCCACCCGGTTCCCGGTGCCCGCGTTCCCCGCCCGGCCCCGGCTCCCCAACCCCAGCCCCAGCCCCAGCCCGGCCGCGCTCACGTGAAGAAGGGCGGGAAGCTGTACTGCCACGGCCACACGAAACTCATCGCCGCCGCCGCCGCTACCGGAACCACCGCTGCCGCTTTCCGCCCCGCCCCGTCCCGCTTCCGGCCCGGCAGCGGGACACGCCCACCGCGCGGGACCCCGCCCCCCACACGAGACCACGCCCACAGAATCCACGCCCGCTTCGCCAGACCACGCCCTCCCAGCGTGACCACGCCCTCTCAATGTGACCACGCCCCTGTATAGCCCCGCCCCTCCCGCTCCGCGCCCCGATTTCGGTGCCGGTTCTGGTGCCGGTGTCCCGCCCGAGCGTTCCCTACAGCACGGAGCTGCCGGGAGGGCGCTGGCGGCGGGAGCTGGCCCGGGCCGGGCCCTGCAGGGATGGAGCGGCCGAAGAACAAGCGCCAGGCGTGGGGGGAGAAGCGTTTAATACCGGGCCGCGGGGTGGGGAAGGCGCGGGAGGAACCGGCCGCCGCCGCAGCGCGGGTTGGTGGCACCGAGAGCCCACCGGGCGGTCCGGGGGTCCCGCAGCCGGGCAGCTCTAAGCCTGCGCCTTGCCGTCCTTGCTGCGCCAAATGACCAGGGTGACAAGGAAGGGGATGAGGCAGATGGGCGCGATGATCATGGCCAGGAGCACATCTTCGGGCGGGTCGAAGTACACCGGGTGCTCCAGGGTGCAGTTGTGGAAGTAGATGTGGTGGCTCTGGAAGATGTACTGCTCGGCCAGGGCGTTGGGGTAGCTGTAGTTGAGTCGCTCTGCCCAGCCCTCCAGGCAGTTCTGCAGCTCGCTGTAGGGCCTGGAGGAGAGACACCGGGACACCGGCAGGGGATGGGACACCGGGGGCACACAGCCGGGCACCGGCAGTACCCTGGGGGAGTGCCCAGCCCCTGCCCCCGGATCTAGAGGGGAAGGTGCTGTGTTGGGAAGGATGCAAGTTTGACAAGAGAGTCTCACAGATGCTTAGCAGAAAGATTTTTAAATGTAGAGTCTGATGAAGGAATAGAGATGGAAGCAAGTTTTGATATAGAAGAAAAGAATTACTGAGCCAGTCTTACTGGATAACCAAGGAGGCAAAGTGTGTGTTAGTTACAAGGGGTTTTTAAGACTTAGAGCAAGAAGGTGTTTTTACCAAGAAGAAAGATAGCACAGGGAAACAAGCCTGCTGATGTTGCAAGTAGAAAAAAGGTCTCAGAATTTTCTACTGCAAGAAAACTGAAAAACAACTTTTAGCTTAAACTGTAATGTACTAACTTCTAACTTAAAGTGACTGGAGAACAGTGACATGAATATGGTAATTCTCGTAGTTATGATAGGCTATAGATAAAAGTTAAGGTATAGATTGGTTCTACTGTATGAAGATGCTCAGCAAAGAAAAGTATAGAATGCATTGTAAGCAAAAGAAAAGTATATAATGCATTGTAACCTAAACTAAGGGTCTCCAGGCCTGCCCTGGACTGCTGTAACATCTTGGATACAGTAAACTGCATTTTGAAGAGCCACCTGGAGTCCTGCATCTCTCATTTAGGCTCTCACAGTCCTGCTGGCCCGTACCTGCTGATGACTTTCCACTCGCACAGCTCCGATGTCAGCACATTCCTCATCAGGTAGACGAAGTAATCCCAGCAGTGCTGTGTGATGGCGGTGTAATTGCCCTCTGTGAGGAAAGGGGCTGAGCATGGGGCTGAGCATGCCTCTGCCCACAGAGCCATCAGCACAGGGAGGGATGGACCTGCAGCAGCCCAGGGCAATGCCAGGGGCACAGAGGGAGGGCAGGCTGCTGCTGGCTGCCCCCACTGTGGGCAGTGGCAGGGAGAGCTTTGCGGCACGGGCTTTATTTTTGGGATGGTTAAGGGAAAGAAGGGATCACTCTGTGGCACAGGGCCAGCTCTGGCCAGGGCACCATTTGTCCTGCAGTGCTGCCTGGCCCTTGCTGACCCCCAACACTCACCCATGGACTGGGCTGTCCCGTTGGACGTGGCCGTGGGTGGGCTTGTCGCAGTGTCCTGGCTGAAGCTCGTTGTCACGGCGTCCGTGTGACAAAGGCCAGGCCCCAGGAGCACTGCAGAGGGAGGGACACAGGGTGAGAGGGGACACAGCGTCTGAGGCAGGGCGTAAGGGTGCTGACAGGGCTCATTTTGGCACTGGAGCCGGTAGCTGGGGCACAGGGAGCCAGAGCCTGGCACATGCTGGGGCTGAGGTGTCCAGCCCCCCATATGGGCAGGGGCTAGCCAGGCTGCAGGCAGCTATCCAAAGGTTCAGAGGGGCTGTTTAGGGGCTACAAACCCTGGGCCATGCTCACAGCATGGGGACAAACGGGGACCCCCAGCCACGGGGAGCCAGCGTGGTGCTGCGTGTCAGCCGGACAGGGCTGGGGCAGGAAGAGGAA